ATTTTAGTCATTGATAATGTATATACACCTTATAAACATAGTCATTTAAATTAAAATTTTCTAGAAATAACAATACTACTTTTTATCATTGGAATCCTTAATAAATTCAAAAAAATATCAGTAGTATATTTTATAGAGAAAATAATACTTGCCTTTAATATATTCACTATTGTTATCAGGTGTACCGATCCTTTTATTTCAAGGGTTTGACCAACCTAATACGTTGACTTCTCATGGGCCTTATCAGATTTTGGCCCAAATCCTACTTTCCATTGGATCTAAAACAAATGTCCTCGCATATATGTTCAACCTAATTGTAGATGCTCAATTTGTCCGGGTGTTATTCGTGTTTAATCGGGTTTTATTATTATGTTTTTATTGCAATTTCGGTATTAGCATAAGTTTGGTATTTGTAGGTATTAATATATATATATATATATATAATATATATATATATATATGCAAAAATAAAAATTAAAACAATGCACTAAAATTTTATTGTTGTGACAGGCCAATATTAACCCCAAATAAGACAAACCAAATTGGCCCAAGCCAAAGCTACAAGCCCGGGACTCGATAGCCCAGTGTTACAAGCCCGTTTTCAGAGACCCTAAACCCGTTAGGGTTTCCTTATCCCAGTTCCAACGCCGCATTGTGGGAACCGTAGGATCTGGTGGTCTTCATCCGACGGAAATAAATTTCATTTTCAATTAAAATACACATTATTATTAGAAGCCAACTAACATGATAAAGTATCAAATTTTCTTACTGGAAAATTTTAAGCAACCATAATACCTTCTTCCAGGGTTTAAATCACTCCATGAGTTTCTCTAGGAGCCAATCTATTGCAAAAACATTTTTTTTCGGTTCTCCATCGTACACAAAATCTCGAGAACAACTAAGATTCTTAGAGAATCGACATGTCCATTAAAGAGTTTCTTATCCTACATACATTCAAATATATGTTTCAAAGGGAAAATGTCAACAATGTTTCTAACTAGAAACCCAAATAAAAACCAAAAAATTACTCTCAGGACCCTATCCAAATGAATTCAACTCGAACTAATATACAATAATGTTCAAAGGTTATGAACAAGTCATTGAAAAATTAACCCATTCAAAACTCATTCGAAAATCAACCCCAAAGATTATAAAAACTAATTTAAAAACCCATTCCAAAATAACGAAATAGGCATTATTCCGTTCAACAAAATAAACTCACCTTCGAAATCATTGATGTAGTGAGAATAATATTTGTTTTTGAAAATTCGTTTCTAGAAACCCATAAACCCTAACAAAAACAAACTTACACAATTCGAAATATATTACAACAAATACAATCGAATAAAGTTGTAGGCTTTAAACCCTAAACCCATCTTAAACCCACACATCTAACAAAGAATTTGAAAAAAACCCACAAACCATTTCGATGAAATAAAATAATCAAACGGTTTAAAAAATAAAATCACCATCCCTATCACTCAACCGCGTAATCGATTCGAGATGAAATGCTGTGTGCTTTTGATGGAGATAGAATCAAAGGAGAAACGATTCGTTAAATTAGGGATATAAACCCTAATATTTGGGGAATAATCGGGGTAAAAGGGAAACTAAGGCTGAGGAAAAATCGAGGTAAAAGAGTTGAGGAAAAAACTAGTTTTATGAATAGAAACATATGTTTTGTTTTTTAAATGAAATTCGGACAAAAGAATAAATGTTAAATACAATTTGTTTCTAAGTTACTCGAGCAAACGGCTTAGTCTTGTGGCAAAACACGAAGCAATGCACCCTAGAGACCCAGGTTCAAATCCCCCTTCATGCATGCATTTCACCATTTTAACTTTGCACCAATCAGATATTGACATTTTGTCACTCTCTGATTGGTTCGATTAATAATATAAATAATAATTGTTAAAAATGTTGTGGTTGTGCCATGTCAGCAATCTGGAAGACATGGATGTCCATGTCAATTTTCTCCTCCACACGTGTGTGCTACGTCAGCATCTAGCGTTGAGCGTCAGTTGACTGATGGTTTACATCCAGTGTGGGTGATTTTTGACCCAAAAATAAACGTTCGGTACCCAAAAGTTCCAAAAAAAAAAAAAACAATACTGGTAAATTTGACACTACTATCAAACGTTAGGGTTATTTTGTTGCATTATGCCTTAATTATGATTCGGTACACCATTTATGCATCAATTTCATTTTTCTATTTATTTGGAAAATTTTCGTTCGAGTCCTAAATTTATTTTACTTCGATATCGATCCCTATTTTACTTTCATTATCAAGTCCTAAATATTTATTTTTACTTCGATATCGATCCCTATTTTACTTTCATTATTCAATTTAGTCACTACCCATCGTTTATTTAGCGTCTTAACCCTTTTGTATTTATACTTCTTTTTAGCATTCACGGGTCTTCCCTTTAATTTATTATTTATATTCTTGCAATTTTTTGTACAGTTTAACATGCATTTAATTTAGGTTGATTCGTGTGTAAACCATTAGCATTATCCGTTTTTTTTTGTCAATTAATGTTTCATGCTAGCAATTTAGTAACCCCATGATTTTGTTTACCTCTTTTAATTATTGTTCCCTTGATTTAGGCTTCGGTTCATTTGACTTTCTACTGTAATCTATTTGTTCTGATATACTTTTTGTTTTAACCTTCCCTGTTTGTTTATTCATACTATAGTTTACATATGTATGTGTGCATATATTAGGCCATAAATATAGCTTATAATTTCAATTAGTTAGACATATACAATTAACGTGTTTATATTATTCTATTTATGAGCATGTATACTATAATCTGCATTTATTATTTTCCATACGTAATATCAAGCTAAAAGGTGCATATGTATTTTGAATGGAAGCCAGGCATGAATGTGTCATGTAGTCCTTTATTACGTAATTTAATGTGTGTGTATATATATATATATATATGTTTTTACTTGTATATAGATTTACTCACATGATTTTGTTCTATTTATATGCTTAAAGTTAAGGTGCGAATTATTTTTATACAATGTATTATTTCATATATATGTATAGATATATTTAAATTAACCATATATATTTAAATAGCATAATATATTATTTTATTTATGAATATATATATATATTATTTATTTTTTTTTATTGAATTTATATATGTAAATATGTAATTGGGTGCATATACGTTTAGGATTTAGTTTTGATTAACTTGTATGATATCATCATAAGCATTCCTTGACTCGAATAAAATAATTGTATTGAGGGATAAGAAAGTCACTTTCGGTAGCTTTAAAATAAAAGGGTATCCTATCAATCGAAATAAATAAAATTGATTTCATTTAAAACTTGAGACTAAGAAAATGATTATGTTCTTTAAATAATTGAACATCCTTCTTCTTTCTAAAATGAATGATAATTTTCAAATTTAATTTGGTTTTACTTTATTTTATCATTATTCATACATTTTGAAATTTAAATTAATAATGAATTTTAGAATAGACTAGCAATATTTCCTTATTTCGATTGGAGTAAGAATTGGCTGCTTTAAGGCATGAGATGTTGTTTCTTTTCGATAGGAAATAATTAAATATTGTTGTTCTCCGTCCTAAAATTCAAAGAATTTTATTTAAAGAGATCTTAAATTAAATTAAATAGAAATGACCATCCAGCTCAGTTGGTAGAGCACAAGGTTCTTAACCTTGAGGTCGTGGGATCGAGTCCCACGGAGGGCATTTCATAATTCGGAGGTCTCTTACGGAAGCTGCTCTCAACTTGGTGTTGGGGGTAGCCTACTATCTATCTTACCTCCCCCTTACCCCATACATATGGGAAAAAGGGACATCTATTTAAATTAAATTAAATTTGAACTTGTAAATTTTATTGTAAAGACAACTAATTAATTAACTAGGTACCGATTTAGGGTGATGTGAGGGTGCTAGCCCTTCCCCATGCGTAATCGACTTCCGAACTTAAATTTTTGGAACGTATACCTAAAAACGTTGTTTTAATAAAATAAAAAATATTTTTTTTATTAAAATGACAACCTTTTTTATTTTTCTCTTGTATATTTTTTTATACAAACAAAAATTATAAATATATATTAAGTTCTCTCCCCCTCTTTTTATATACAGAACTAGGATCCATTTATATTCAATGCAAAATTAAGAGATTTACACTTTTTTAGGACCGTTAGATGAAAATAAATCAAAAGTTGAGATTAATTTATTATTTTTTTACAGTGAATACATTCTCATTTTCTGCTGTTAATCTCACACTTTGATTTCTCTCGTTTAACGAATTAAAAAAAAAGCGTAAAACTCTTAATTTTACACTAATAGTAAGTGAATATTAATATATATCATCGTTGTAAAGAGTTATTCCAATTGTAATTGTCGCGAAAGGCTTCTAGTCGGTTGATATAATTTTCCTGATTTTCAGCAACTCTCCCTTTTGTCTTTTCTAGTAAAAGCTTAGTTTGGGATTCTTATATGCCAAATCTGAGGCTTGGGGTCATCAATCAACTAATATCAATCTCTCTCTTTTTTTTATTTGTTTATATGCATATGTTGATTATCATTCGATATATAGACGGTCGAGTTTTTTTTAATTTCATAAATAAAATTAAGAAAATTTAAATTTTTATATTCTCTAATATTAATTAAAGACACGAGACAGTCTCTAGTTTCATCCTTTAATTCATTAAATAATTATTATATAGACTCGTTAAATTTAAATTTTATGGATTGCCCAATTAAGAACATGAAATAAAGTTGGTCTTTTGGTTTTTGATGACATTGTATGATTTCTAGTATTGATTTTCGTTACCGTTGGGTGACAATAATTGTAGTTACAAAAATGAAAGAGTTTGGAATGCAATTAATAATAACAAAAAGGTTTGGTGATTGCATAAGCTCCATGCTTAAACCAGTAATGCTTTCCCTACATGTCTTCTTCCTAATAATGGGTTTGAAACACTTGAGTCCAACATCCGAATATGAAAATATAACCTTCAAAGATCCGCTAAATACATTTAAAAAATCTTTAGAAAAATCCAACCACACCAGTTTCCAACATTCACACCCAAGTCCAAACAATATAGAGATTAATAGATTAAGTTCGGCCGTTCTGAAAATTTTGATGCAGGTAGAAGTACATTTGTTACACTTCTTCATCAGAAAATGCTGACAACTTGGAACCAATAAAACAAGAGCTAACACAATTTAGTGACTTAAGACAAGTATACAAGGCAAAAACAAAGGTGAGAAGTGACCACTTCACCTACCGAAACAGCTAGTAACTGTAGAGGTAAGAGCCGATGTGAGAAATTTCAACCCAGCAGATCCACCAGGGAAGTAAGAAATAGCATAGTATGCAAGCACAAGAACCTACGAGTTTCACGGAAACAGCAAGAGAAAATTGATGTCAAAACCGGATGATAATGCGGGCACTTATCTCAGCTCATAATTCAATAAACCTTACAAGTTTAACATAAAATAACCGAACAAAAATGACAGGTGTAGTATACCTGTAACACAGAAAAGAGAACAGAAAGGATGTAGCTGTGAAGCACCATGGAAACATAGATGGTACCCACCATACTCCCAATGAAAACCAGAGTAAAAGGAAGCCTCTGCATCAATGGTGTGAAAGAAAAGAAGAACATATTAGATGCACAAAATCAAACTAGATGATTGTTAACTTCTCTAGCAATCAGATTGCTAACAAAAACAAGGGGGTAAAATCAAAGTATAGCATAAATACCTCTTTTGATGACATGTGGGCTAACTGATTCTTTGGGCCTCTAAGAGCAAAGAAGGATCCGATGATAAAGCCACATCCAAGAGTAAAGCAGATAGCAAATTTTTGTGGCATGATCACCATGACTGGAAGAAACATGGTAAAAGCGATGAAAACGAAAAAGATCCCACTCGCCAGAAATAAACCAAAATAGACGAGTGCTTTTCCTGAAGGAACACTCGTGGCAGATTGGAAGTTCCCCGGAATATCTCTCACCCCCTTTGAAACACTGGATCACCAAGAACCAAACCAAATATGAATTAACAGGTTAAAAACATAATCTTAGGACTTGTACATATCCATTTTTATTGAACTTTTAATGGGAGAAAAACAACTTTGCATGAGTTTTTGTTCAAAGATCCAATGAAACTGCTCTTCCACAGTTCCACCACTAAAGGGCTTAGGGTATTTCAATACGTATTAGTGGTATAATTAGGTAGTTAAAAGAGAGAGGAAGACGAGAACCAAGTATAGCCAATCGGAAGTACAAGAAGAGCCGATTTTACTAAACCCTGATTTAGCTAGGAATCTCCAACCAAGATCAAAATACCAAATTATTTCTTCTCAACCGATGTGATCTTAAGCCCTCCCCTACCCATCTTCAATACTTCTATCTAAATCAAATAAATTTTTTAACAGAGCATCTCAGATACATTTGTGTATTATATAATACAAATTCATTTACACACATCTATCATGCAAAGAGGTGACTATTACAAAATCAAAAGTCTAGCAGACCCAGATTTTGAATGACATTCACATTCTAAATCCTTTAATTGACAGTGAATCAACAAAAAACCATAATTCTACAATCAATTTTATTAAAATTCAACAATAGCAATGCCGGTTTTATTACTAAAATCAACGTACTTGAAAATCCGAAAATCTTAAATCCCTAATTCCCATAAAATCAAATACCCAACACCTATCAAGCCAAATCGAACCAACTGGAAAATCCCATAAACAAAATGTTCAATCAAATCTCATACTCAACCGTAAAAACACGTTAAAAATCGAAACTTCATTCAAATTTCCAAGATCAAGAAGAGTGGGGTGACGGCTTACACATCGAAAGTACCAGTGACGGTATCATTGGCAGACCTCATAGCAGACTCGAGATCGAACCGAAACGCAGTTCCCTCTTCTGATTCTCTTGAAGCTGCATATGAATTCCAATCTGCTAAAAGCGAAGATCCTTCTTTTCCCTGATCCTCACCCACACTACTGCCCCCTGAGAACCAAGCTTGCATCTTTCTTCTCTTTTTTTTATATGAAAATTTGCTTTCTTCGAAGAAAAAAAAGCTCTAAAGATTCACCCCTTTTTCTTGGGGTTTTTGTTTATGGATTATTTAAGGCTTAACCACCAGGGCGTGGTGAAGTTGCTGTATGAGAATAACTGCCCCCGTGGGAGCTTCGCTTAGGAATGAAGAAAATATGTTTTTGGTGTTTCTTAGTTATAGTTTGACAAGGCAACGGTGACGTTTTGGAAAAGTCTGTTGTGTTTTTGTTTTTTTAATTTATTTATGATAAATTTCCCGAAATATTTGTTGTAAATTATCCGAATTTTAGAAAATAAAATTATGACATATAGAATGTTGAGAAAAAGATTTTATATAGTATCATCGCTACAATGTTTTATTGGAAATATATGAACCATTCGACGACTTAAAAAAGATTAATGGAGTACTTAGCCATTTTTTAAGATGCATGTATGCTCGTAAAATGATAAGATTATATTCGAATCATATCATTTTAAAGATATTATGTAATCTCGATATCTTTTAAAAATCGTCAAATATTATGGATGTCTTTTGTGATAAGATTATATTTGAATCATATCATTTTAAAAATATAATGTAATCTCGATATCTTCTAAAAATCATCAAATATTATGGATGTCTTTTGTGATAAGATTATATTTGAATCATATCATTTTAAAGATATAATATAATCTCGATATATTCTAAAAATCGTCAAATATTATGGATGTCTTTTGTGATAAGATTATATTTAAATCATATCATTTTAAAGATATTATGTAATCTCGATATCTTCTAAAAATCGTCAAATATTATGGATGTTTTGTGACGTATTGTAGTTAGAGACAAATATATATAATTCTGTAGGAGAGTAGTTGTACATCTCTTATTTTGAAAAAGTATTAAATTTGTTTAATTTATTAATAAAAATTAAGAAAACGTGTATATCCAAATTTTTTAGAATAATGTATTAAAATTTTAGATACCTATTCTTTAGTTTTTAGATCTATCAATAATCGTAACTTTTTTAATTTATTGACAATGCAAATAACATGTAAATGAATTCAAAAGTTTTAAGAAAAACAACGTTTTGTTTTATCATTATATCATTTAATAAGTTTATTAAATTAATTTTGTAAATAAAATATTAAATTAATCTTTAAATCTACATTTTTATACGTTATAATAACAAAATTATTGTTTAAGATGAGAATTGATCCACTGATTTATTTAATTATTAAAAATATAAAATTATGTTTGTATTAATGTTTTCAATGAAGAAATTAAAATAATAATTAATAAAAAAAATAAATTAGATCCGATAAAATGAAATGAATAGTTCAACCTTTTTTTCCAGGGAATGCATAGCTTTGTTATAGCTTCTCCCACCCATTAACTGTCAAAACTAAAGCTCTAAAGCTCTCCTATTTCCTCCCTAAAATTGTTTCGCTCTTTCTCTAAAACTCTCTCTCTCTCTCTCTCTTCACGAGAAAAAAAAATTCTATCCCAATTCTCAAGCATTCATGTCGGTATGTAATATATATATTGAAGAGCTTAATTTGTGTTGTTTGATTTGATTTCTTTCATTTTAGATGGATTTAATCTTTGGTTTGTTTTGATTCATATCTTTGCTGGGTTCTTGATTCATGATTTTTTGTTTGTTTGTTTGTATTTTCCCTTGAAAAAAGGATCAATCTTCGATCAAGTTTTATTTGTCTGGGGATTCCTTTTGAACCTTTTTTTTAACTTGTAGATATAATTCCAGGTAATTATATTCGATTGCAAAGTTGAAAAAGGGAAGAAAATAGATTTATATCGAATGAAAATGGGATGCATTAAGCTAATGAGTGATTTGTTTTTTTGCCTGTTTTTAGGATCATTGTAAGGTTCCTGATAACACATTTAGAGTCGGGTCGCTCATTTGGAAATTTAGATTTGTATTTCATTTGATGTGTAGTATGTAACAGTGAAATGCATACATTGTTGATGAATAGTTATGATTCAATATATACTTAAAAAACTACGAATACATGAATTTATCAAAACTGAAATTATATTAGAAATTCCAATTTCACTACTAAACATGCATCTAACAAATCCCTTATTACATTTTTTAAGTATTTTATTACTCAATTCATACTATTAGTAAAATCTAAATTCTGGAATATAGGTTCTTAAATGAAAGCTTGAAATCAGCTTTTGTTTGGAGTTTTAGTGTAAATTGGAAACTATGGCAATTTTTATTTTTATTTTCTTTTAAAAATAAAAGCTGTTTTTGATTTTTCAGGACTTGATATCATTTTGAGTGTTAGTTTTGTCACTTCAATTTTGACAATTTGGCAGGTTCCTTTATCATCTTTGTTTGATTATAAGATGAGCTTTTCATTGTATCTTCCAAAAATGTGATGATTTCAAGTTTCCTGGTTTGTTTTGTACTTCTTATTAATGCCATATGCTTTTATGCGGTCTTCTTTCATCTCCTTTAATGGTCATTATGAATAGTTGCAGTCGAGTATGTCTCATTTTGAAGGATTCTGGTTTAACTTATGTTTCTCAAATTCAGATATGGATGTAGGAGACAAATATGTTCATAATGCAAAAATAAGTGCCCAAACTATATCTAAAGTTAACTTTAGGTGTCTAAAATTTTTTTCGTCGCCTAATGTTTTTAACCTTACACTTTTAGGTGCCTGCAGTCAAATTAGGCCGTTAAGCGACACGTGTCAGTCTTATAAAAATTTTAAAATTTTATTTGTCTGACACATGTCACTTAACGGGTGAATTTAATGATGGTAACGTTCCAGACACTTAAAAGTGTAACGTTGGAAATGTTAGACACATATTTTCAACGAAAAATTCTTCATACAACTAAAATTAACTTTAGGTATAGTTTGGCAATCATTTTTACATTAAGCCTATATTTGAAGGGTCCTTCGAGTGTCATATCCCCCCATACAGCCATACCATGTATGACTATGATTGTTTTATTTGACATATTCTATCAAAAGAAATAGTGATGAAGGTGAACTTTTGTGGTCCTGGACCAGTTTTCTTTTGGTATGCTTTTTGTAAGTGACTAATAACAAGCTTTTAGAACTTTATTTTTTCCTCGAGTTTGTGTGTCTTACCTGTGTCTGAGATCCGACTAACATAGATTTGAACTGCATTGTCTATTTAGGCCCATTGATTTAACCAGCTCAGCTGAATTCACTTTGTTTGTTCTCAATGTTGTAAAGCATGTTGATTAATTTTTCAGTTGTTAAAATGGAAGGAAATTTGTTTTAAGCTGAAGCTGAAGTTATGCAAATGCGTTTATAATGGCGTTTAGTGGTTCAGATGATGTTCATATCCTAATAGTAAACATTGAAGTGGTCTATATAATCTAATTCCTTCTACCAGATTTTCGAGTTTAAGAACCATTTTGGGTGTAGGATTTCTTCTTTGTTGAATGTGGAAAAATTGTTTTGTCCGAGCTGGGAATCAATCTGTATGCTTATTTGGAGAACTTGTTGGACTAGCAACAATTGACCAACTAGATATGATGTATGATTGAGTATGTTGTATCCATTGGCTGCTTGGGGAACCTTAGATACATTCCAATTTTTTGTTTTGTTATGAGGATATTAATGAGAGAGCTTTTTACTTCTCTTTTTGCCTAGGACGAAAACAAGGGTCGGCCATTGCCGAAATTCGGTGAATGGGATGTCAACGATCCAGCATCAGCCGAGGGGTTTACCGTGATCTTCAACAAGGCAAGAGACGAGAAGAAAACTGGCGGAAAAACAGAGCCAGCAGCAAACGCGGATGCTAATAGTAAGCCAGGGGCAGATCCTGGAAAACCACAGCAAGTAAATAATCCCTAACATGACTTCATCCAAATGCATATACTAGGCATTGGTGAAAATCTATTCCTGCCTGATGATAAATGCTTATTTGCTTGATTGTTGCACCATTGCCATCTTCGTATGATTGTTATAAACCATAGGTGTTCTCGGTTTCTATCATGACGTGCACCCGTCTTTTTGTTCAGAAAAAGAGTCTCTGCTGCGTGTTGTGAACCGTAGCTGTTCTCGACTTCTATCACGATGTGCCCTCCTTCATTTCAGAAAAAAAAAATGGCCTTGCTGCCTGCAAGCAGCACTGGTGGAATCTTGATGAAGTCCAGCATGTACGCGAGCTTCTCCTAGTATATCATGTCATATTGATCATCGGAGTGATTTGACTTCGAACGATTCTATAATCATGCAATTCTATTCTTTCTTTCTTTCTTTCTTTCTTTCTTTAATTGACATCCATTCATTAGCGAAAGTATTACATAAATAAAACAATCAATGTAGTGAGCACTCTTCCTAATCCTTGCATATTAGTCACGCTATCGTAATTCATGCTCAAATATGACATCATTGATATTTACCAACTTAGGATTATGCATTTGAGAGTCGTGCAAAAATTCAGCTCAATCATATTTCAATTTCTACTTCAATTGCATAAGCATGGCCTATTAAGGACTAAATTATAAATTTTTAAATAATTTCTATACTAATATGTAATACCCCAAATTTTATCTAGTGGCTAAAATGTAAGTTTTGAAAGTTTGGTAGTTAAAGTATAAACTTTGAAAAGTCTAGGGACCAAAATTGAATTTTTAAAAGTTATATTTTAGCCTGTAAATAATAGTGTGGATTAAAACAAAGATTTTCTTGAGAATCAGATTTTCTATACGAGATTTATGTTAAAAGCTATTAAGCGGTAAAGTTCGGTATTGAAATCGGATATTCGGATCGAACAAGAATTTTACGAAAATTTGAAAGATGTTAGAAAATGGTAGGAAATATTATTTTCATATTTTATATCAAATAAATTTGGCTCAGACAATGTAATTTTTCATATTTGACTGAATAGTGGAATTTTAGTGACTAAAATGCAATTTTCAAATATTGCAAGGCCAAATTGGAAATTAAAAACCAAGTTAATTCATCTTTGACCAATGAATATTTAAATGGAAGATAATACAATGCCATTTGGTAATTTTTCAAGATTCATTAATGGTATTTTTGTAATTTCAAATTAATTGAATTTTAAATTCAATTAAATTAGATAAATGTCATGTGTATTATCTATTAAATACTAAAATAATCAAGATAATTAGCACATTTTCAACTCCCATCTTCTCCAAGGCCGAAACTTCAAGCTCTCCCAAGGTAAGA